GACATTTAGGTGGGCATTTTGATATTCCGGCTCAGAGAACAGATAACAGTGATCGTCTGCTGCAACTGTGCCCAGACAATCGTTTATTTTTAACAAGCATTAGTTTTAAGCACAAGGAGGGACATCGTCTAAAATGGCGGTCGCCTGCACCAAACCAACGATGGACTCAACTAGACCATATTGCCATCAGTCATCGTTGTTGAGGTTCGAAAGAAGACTACTGCTCGTTCTGGAATACATGCTTGGACTCCGATCATGTTCTAATACAAGCACGTATTTGCTTGTGCTTCACTGGACACGGTAAAGCCACATTAAGAAGACTCATTCGAGTTAAACTCAGTGACGAGAAAGTCAAAAGTAGATTCCAGGAACAACTTAGGCAATTCCGAAAACGAGGTCGACCCGGATGTTGCTTAGCAAGATATACAAACAGCAGTGACATCTACTAGTGATTTGAAACAAAGGACCACGAATAACCAGTGCATTTGTGCTACATCTGTTGCACTGCTAGACTCTCGTAAACTTATCCCATCAGGCTCCGAACACGATGATAAGCGAAAACAAATCAAATCTAGGTTAGCCCAAAGTCTATGGAACGATCGTGAGCAGTGGTGGGCAACGAAAGCAAAACAGATGGAAATGGTAGCGACTGTAGGTAACACCAGGCAGGATTCCAGACTAATAAAGGAAACCGAAATTGAGAAGTCAAGTGTAAGACAATCTCTGAAAAAGACGACATTCTCATCTGCTCGCAGTACAGAGGTTTAGAACGATGGAGGAAACGCTTTAAGGAGAAGTTGGGCTTGCCTCCAACTATTTCACAGCTACCTACCATTTTTAAACATCCTGAACGGAACATTGAAATAGGCCCTTGACTCTAATTGAAGTTCAAAAAGCTGTAGCTAATCTGAAACGAGGAAGAGCAGATGGATTGGCTCAAGAGGTCTTTAAGTAAGGTGGTCCAATTTTAGCGATTAGGTTGATTAATATTTTAGCTAAAATCTGGGAGTTGGATGTAATCCCATCTGACTGGTCGCAATCACTGATTGTCCCAATATATAAGAAGGAGTCAAAATCATCCTGTGATAACCATGGAGGGACTAGTTCAACTAATATAGCATGTAAAATACTAGCCTCAATTGTTGTCGGACGCCTAACTAAGACTCGTGAACTGCAAACACGAGGAAATCAGGCTGACTTCAAAACTGGTCGTGGCTGCATCGATCACATATTCACCATTCGCCAGATCTTAGAACACAGACATGCTTATCGGCGTACGACAATGGAAGTTTATCTTGACTTAAAAGCAGCATTTGACTCTGTAGACCGAGAGGTTCTGTGTCAGTGTCTGTCATTGAAAAGTGTTCCTCAGAAGTACATAAACCTTGTGAAGGCTATTTAATCGGACACCACCAGTCGGGTCAGTGCTATCGGAAAGTTTTCATCTGATTTTTCAACCTCAAGTGTTGTCCGTCGAGGCAGTCCACTATCTCCATTTTTGTTCAATTTCATCATAGACTTAATACTGGAAATAACGTTCTCGTTGACTTAATTTTTGGGGATATTGACCTCCTACGAGGAGGGCTACTTATTGACTTAGAATACACAAATGACATAGTGCTGTTTGGTGAAGACGTGGATAAAATCCAGAGTATTTTGGTAGCACTGAGCAACAATGTCAGGATGTTTGGGATGCGTTTCTCCCCCTCTAAATGCAAGTTGTTGCTTCAGCGCTGACTTGGGTCAACTCCTGAACTGTGGATAGGGAGTGAAGTAGCCGAACACGTCGACAACTTCACTTATCTCGGAATTCTGATCAGCCCTAATGGGTTGGTGTCAGACGAAATGTGATCACAGATTCAAAATGGTCGTTTAGCTTATGTCGTCTCAGAGAATTCCACGTCGTGCATTATTTGCCGACGCTAGGACTGGTTGGAAAAAGCGGAGAGATGGCCAGTGTATGACATCTTGTCGGGATATGAAAGAAAGCTGCAAAGGACTGGGTTCTGTTGGTCCTTCTCGACTGCCTCGCTGGGGTCCGAGAGATCGTGAAACACAGTGGCTAGAGACGTTATGAGATATGGCCCATAATAGAAGCCAGTGACGATCCTGCTGTAATCTACTCTTGCTTTCTTCATAAAAAGTGGATGTAACTTCCTTAACTGAAAGGATTCTTCTGGTTGTACCTTTCCGTTTAACCATTATTATTTTTATTACACTACCTTATACTAATCTGGTCGTTATTGTTCTTTTTTTTTCTTTTACGCTCCCTACCTTCTTTTTTTCTTTCCATTCTCATTGTTATGTGTGGCGCATACATTGAGATTAGATGGTGGTTGGAGGTAGTCAACAGGAAACCCTGGACCCGGGTTTCGTGCTACTTGGCACTCGTCAGCAAGGTGTACCTGTAATCTTGAGGGAACTGGTGCTCCCTGGCGGATTCGATCTCGTGTCACCCAGCTTCACAGTCAGAGACGTTACCACTGAGCTATCCGAGCCGTGACTGACCTCCTGTAGGACTGAGATGTAATCACAATTGATTGATCACTGGGTGGTGATCAATCTCATGCTTGTCTAGTCCTTATTAGTGCAGATCGAATGCTATCGATCGTGTTGCAATGTGGCCACCAGTCTAGGTGACTCGACACTGTGGGCACTATGTATTGAGATTAGATGGTGGTTGGAGGTAGTCAACAGGAAACCCTGGATCCGGGTTTCGTGCTACTTGGCACATGATCGATAGCATTCGATCTGCACTAATAAGGACTAGACAAGCATGAGATTGATCACCACCCAGTGATCAATCAATTGTGGCGCATACATATTTGGTGCCCTCTTGTACCAATACTTGTGTTCAAATAAATAAATAAATAAGTTTGGCTTATGCCAACTTACGTCACCTGTGGCGAAGGCAAGATATCCGTCTATCAATAAAAAGACGAGTATGCAGCGCAGCAGTTGGTTCTGTTTTATTTTGTGGCTGCGAGACGTGGCCATTAGGGAAAAAGGATACTCGTGAGTTACTAGTATTTGATTCCAGATGTCTTAGAAAGATTTCCAGCACTGCTGGGATCACCGGGTAATAGTGAGTAATAATGATGTTAGACTCAGGGTATCAGGGGATGATGGTAAATCAGTTGATGAGTTTGTGAATCTTCATCGACTGGGGTGGTTGCGCTACGTATTACGCATGCCTTACCACCGACTGTCACGGTGCACAACGGTGACAAGTGTTGGAGAAGGTTGGAAGAAAGTTAGGGGTGACCAAACCAAAACGTAGCATCAGTTCTTGGAGTCACTAACTTCTGGTCTGAGCCATGTTGGTATATGCAGACTACTTGGTCGGGGTCCGTGTGACTATCGTAACCAATGGTTGGAGACTGTGGGTGACGTGGCTTAGAATCGATCACAGTTGGGTGGGTGTATACACTCTCTGCCTTCCCTTAATATATTACTATCACTGAAATAACTACTTCTATGAATTTGGTGATTATCTTGTTGTGCTAATAAGGCGTGGCAACTTTGACCGATGCATATATCTGCCTGGTCCTACGTTGTAGCTGACTGACTGAGTTACCCCAGACATTTACAGGTACGGGCTTCTAATTCGTTTTGTATATTTTATGGAAATCGTAACAGGACTAATATCATTAGTACGAAATGAATTTCACAAATTTCTGACGAGACAATCATGTGGGAGCCAAATGTGTGACTGTAGTAATATCAATTACTTTATATTTATTTATACTGCCTGTACGTTTTCACACATGACCTTGTTAACCACTTTCCACTAATGCTAAAATGATTATTTATACTAACATTTTGTGGAAGTACATTTCCTATACATGCATGCGTCTGCATGTATATTTATTGCACTATGCATATGACTCTATAAATGTAGACAAAATAATTTAATTATTTAGTGTGTAACCAACCCCAACTATTTATCTATTCAGACTCGTATGTCTGCTACTCATATGCATACTAGGGATATACGTACCCTGCATAGATTTCGTATACTAACTTTTGGAAACGGCGTTATAGTGAATGAAATCCAGTCCAGTAATATACACGAAATTAATCTTGGGATATATGTAAATAACGAACGCTGAATAATCGAACTAATAGTCAGATAAGACTGTTAAAACTCATTCCACTAGCTATTACATTGCTACTAGTCACACTACGGTAGTAGTCATATTACTATAAAAATAACCTTAGTATAAGAAAAATCGTAGTAGCACCCGTCCCTATTAACACACTTCGACTGCATGTGACAGACAATACTAAACACTATGTTAACAGGTGACACGTAAATATGAAAAAGTAATTATCATGTAGAAACACCTAAATCACTTGACCGCTAACGTATCCAAATTATTCAGTTAATATTAACAACATAATGACATGACAAAAATCATACCGAATTGCCGATAAATCCTCCGACAGTTTTTTAAATACTAAATGACGGGAAACCCGAAGATAGAACTTTTGAACACCACATATGTCACATACTTACAACAAGGTATTTTAACCATCAACTTATGAATGGTTAAGGATACAAACAATCACACGACTTCGCTAATGTTTTACGCAAAAAGAAAAATTTTTGTCATTTATCAAGATCATGAGAAGTCTACAGCGATAAAATTTATTTATTTAAACACATAAACATTGGTACAATGATGCACCACATAAATCATTCGATCTGTGTAATGGTTGGGATACTGCCCGGATGCCCAAACCGAAACAGGTTTTCTTAAGAGGCTACACACTCGCAGCCTTTGACTCAAAGGTCTGAAACACTAAGTAGTGGAGCAATGTCAGGAGATGTAGTTTCATGGTAGCCGGTGATCAACATAAGGCTCATACGCCACTTGTTTTTTAGGACACTGGAGCCCATGTACACCAATGGTTTGGAATTAGGGTTTTCCAACTCCCCTAGGTAGACCCTCTGTGTCCACCAATCCGGTTAAAGCGCCGGATATTCGCCTTTCGTCCTCTCAATTTCGTAAACAACACCCTCGCCGTGAGAAGGCAGTGAGTAGAACTTCTCTGGCAGTGGTTGTATGCACATGGCCATGTGAGAGCATCTCGAGACGGAGAGCTGACTCTCCCCACTATCGGCCGTATCAGGGCATTTCGGGGCGATGAAATGGAAACACTTCATTCCCTAGAATGGAACTAAGATAATAAAAATATAGCGATGAAGCATATGAACCTAATGAAAAGTTATGTAGAAAGGAAAGAAAGCAGCAGAGATGAATGAGGGGTAGATCTATACCATAGCTGTAATTTTAGGCATAGAATGTGAAAATAATCAGTCCTTTGAACGTTGACAATTTCTACAACACTAACAAGCAATCAAAATGAAGAAATCACTTTTTATCAAAATAGTCTCTATTTGTGAAGATGCAATGAAATACTCAAAGAAATGAACAATTCATTAATGAAACTAATCGTTGTCTAGTGCATGGAGTTGTTTGACCCAAGACAAAAGTAACTGACTGAGCGACGTATTTTCATCATGATAAACGCTGTTTAGTCCGGAAGAATTTGATTCTGAGAGTTCTTGACTGACTGTGCTCTGCAGAATAGGGACCTCAAGACACAAGATGGAATTAAGGTCGTTCCGACACTTTATTTTTAATTGCCTATAAAAATGAGTATTTTTATACATATCTCCAACCATTTGACTTAGAAGTGATGAAATTTCCGTCATACATATTCTGCGTAAAATAGACTTAGTAGCTGATTTGCTTGAATTATTCTCGGATGTCTCATTAAAATTTAAGAGCGAACGTACATTAGGAATGAACTGCGAATCAGCATCACATTTTACTGGAGCCTCTGAAGATGAAGTCTTACACGACGGTATATCATAAGTCATGCTATGGGGGTTATGATTACGATCACAATAATTTTCTTCTTTAAAATAATTTCCTTGACGATTAAGAGTAGAATGGTTGGCATCTTGATGTCCGTCGACTGATTTAGGGGCATATAGGTTTCCTTTTTCTAACATTTTCAAATGCTTTTTACCGGCCTCATGCCGAATTAAATCAAAATCACTCATGTAGGTTTTACAAACACCGCAAAAAGCCTTATTAGGTTTTTTATTGAGTGGCGCCTTAACATTACACACTTTATCAAATGAGGATGGTTTTAACAAAACATTGGAAGGCTGATTTGTAGATGATTGGGCAGAGTGATTGCTTATTTTAGACAGGCTTTCAACAGATTTTTGGATGTTATTTTTGTCATTACTGAAATTAGCAGGTGAAGTTCTACACGGATTGTGACAGTCTTCCTCGTAGACATGTTTCCAATAGGCATCCTGGTCACAAAAAATAATTTTGCAAACAAAACACTCAACAACATCTGACATGCTGAGTCAACCTAAAAGAGGATAGTGAAAAAAATAATGAGGAGGATCAAGATATGTGACTGATAATATGAATTCAGAATAGGAACAAGCTCTCATAACAGCTTAGCTACATAGGTTAAAAATGCTTGTAACCCATTCAACGAGTGAACACCAAGTTGATTTTAAGCCACATTGTTTTCGATGGTTAGTAAAACCACCCGGTTACTTGAATTGAAGTGGTTAGAATGGCGTTGGGACGAGTAACCTACTAGCTGAAAGTTAAGTGCTATGACCGAATCATTTTCATGAATGTGTTCAATTTAACACCGAGAAGAACTATGGCAATAACAGCAATTTTGAGCTACATTTGATGATGAAGCTGAAGCTAGAAGAGGGTTGGGGATGAAAACAGAACGAGCGCCAGGAAGTGAGATTTGATCCTGGAAATGATTAGCTCGAGTGTTCCTGGACGTGGAACAAAACTCAGAAATAACAAATAGATACTTTTTGATCAGTTAATTCTCACTGGGACTGACTATTTAAGCATAACAACACACCGAGTCTTAGTGAAGACCCATTATGGTTTGATACATTAATTAGTCAACTTAGCTTTCAAAATTAAATGGCTTTGAAACATATAACTGGCATACTTTAAACGGACAAACAACTTCGTTACAGTATTGGGCAGCCACCTGAGGTAAGGGTTCAAAATCTTACTTAAAAATGTCTTTGAGCTGATATCAATCAGTGTAAAAGTTATACACAGCGTCCATGAGTATCATTCAATATGTTTGCGAGCCGGAATACTGCCCGGGTGCCCAAACGAAGACGTTTTTTGGGTCACTCTTCGAGCTTTTACATGAAGGTTTAATCCACAAAGCAGTGGAGCAATGTAAGGAGATGCAGTTTCATGATAGCCGGTGACCATCAACAGGTCCCTTCAGGATACTGAAGTCCATGTGCACTATTGGTTTGGAATTAGGGTTTTTCAACTCCCCTATGTGGACTTTCCGTGTCCACCAATCCGGTTAAAGCGCCGGACATTCACTTTTCGTCTTCTAAACTTCGTAAACAACACTACCGTCACGAGTAGGACTTCCGTGGGTGTAGCTGTATACATGTGGCCATGTGCGAGTACTTTGCGAGGAAGAGCTGACTATCCCTTCCCTCTGCCGAACCAGAGCGTTTGGGGGAAACAATAATTTAGAACTATTAATTACTTCTTTAACCTAGGAATAAATTTAAACAAGTTGGTTTGATCATTGTTCGAAAGGACAAAATATTTTTGTTATTCTTAATAATAAACAATTCAACTCGAATGCTTTTACGAGTTTAACATTCGTAATGAAGATCAAACTCTATTGTCCTACTTAAACTATAGTCAGTTGGCTAATAGATCAGATATTACAGTAAATGTAGTTCTAATATTTGAAGGAAATTGATAGAAGCACCAATTAATAGACATACGCAACTTGAAAACATTTGAAATTTCTAAGGGACTGATAGTCCTGATATGATTTAATCCTGTTACACCTATCGTTATTATCGAAAATATTACTTGGAAGACAGATATTCTTATGTACTCTATCTTTAGACTTTATTATAAAAGATGAATACCATCTTATAGGTAATTCTTAACGTTAACTGACTATAATAGAAAAGATGCAAACCACAAACCATGCAATACATTGTTTATTACTTTTTAAATAAATGAATAGGAAAGGGAACATATTCTTACATTCCACACTTCATAGAGATTTTCCTACTAGAGTTAATTAACGAATATAGTTATACTTTAATCAAGTTGATTTATTAAACTCCGTGGTGAATAATATTAATATTGACAGTAAACACTTAAACACACATAAACATATTGGTGACCATATATATGGGAAGTATTGATCTTTATGTTAATTAACTATTTAAGTAATCTGAACAACTTAAAAAAATTTCATGTTATTTCCTAAGAGAGTATGAAGATGTCGAGGCGAGACTCTAATTTAGAGACGAGCCAATCAGAAGCGTTTGAGCAATTTCAAGGTCACGGAGCCAAGTTCAACACGCGATGCTAACATACGATCGGTTCACAGCGGATCTTAGAGAGGAGGTGATTAATGAGAGGTTACAACAGATGGGACGGCAAGACCCTAATTTAGGGACGAACCAATGAGAAGCGTTTGAGCAATTTCAATTATTAGCCAATCAGAAGACAGTATAAAGTAAAAGTATATTACAAGAAAGTAATGAATTACAGTGGATATTCTTTTTTTACATGAGTTAAAAACTTGTTGAGGTTTGATAAAGGCTCAGAAGTTCTGAATTTATAATGCATATTGTATAGAAACTCGTCCACAGGGTTAGCGTTTGGGGTTAAGGTTAGGGTTAGATTAGGGTTTAGGGCTAAGGTTAGGGTTAGATTAGGGTTTAGGGTTAGGTTAAGGTTAGATTAGGGTTAGGGTTAGATTAGGGTTTAGGGCTAAGGTTAGGGTTAGGGTTAGATTAGGGTTCAGGGTAGGTTAAGGTTAGGGTTAGATTAGGGGTTAGGGTTTAGGTTTAAGGTTAGGGTTAAGGGTTAGGTTAAGGTTTGGGTTGGGGTTAGATTAGGGTTTAGGGTCAGGTTGAGGTTAGCGTTAGATTAGGGTTAGGTTAGGGTTACGGTGCTAACATGCGATCGGTTTACATCGGATTTTAGAGAAGAGATGTCTATTGACAGACTACAACCCTAACCACTAACCCTATGGACGAGTTTCTATACAATATGCATTATGAACTGAGAGCCTCTGAACCTTCATCAAACCTTAAAAAGTTTTTAAATCATGTAAAAGAAGAATATCCACTGTGATTCATTACTTACTTACAATATATTCTCACTTTATACTAACTGTCTTCTGATTAACTAATAATTGTCAAGGTCATTTAAGATTCGTTCAAAGGTCGTCGCAAATTAGAGTCTCGCCTCAGAACCTCTCAACCTTTATCAAACCTTAACAAGTTTTAGAATACCCACTGTAATTCGTTACTTATATACCCACTTTATACTGTCATCTGATAGACTAATAATTTTTATGGTCATTTAAAATTCGTTCAAAGGTCTTCCCTAGAGTCTTGCCTACAACTTTATAATAGTAACGCTTGTTGGAGATTAAAGAATTTACTGATCAGTAAAATTTTGTGTAGATAAAGTTGATAAATGTAATAACAAAACTACTGTGCCAGAGAATTGGTCAGGAATGTTTTTTTCTGGACAATAAAAACTCTAAATTTTACTTAGTGTTTCTCAAAAACATTTGGAATTATTCGTAAAACATCGCTAAAATTTTCAATTACCTCTGTATAAATTTGGAAGTATGTGGTATGCAACTGTTAATATATTCACCTATGAGTTTGCGTCCAGTTGGCAGTATTTTTTTCTCAAAAGACATAAACAGGAAAGTCTGGTAGGAATATTCCGCCTCTTAGTGAGAAAATCGGGAAGAGAATAAACCCCAAACAACCAATAAAGCGGAAATAAAGGTGAACAAAGGGGACGGAAGCGTAAATAGAGGGGAAATGTCGATTTTCCCCCTTACTTCGTGTATTCGGGGGAAATTAGTCGACAACTATACGTAACGTACCGTGTTTGAATACGCCGCATCCCGTACTTATATTTTCACAAAAGTCCATAAAATAACGCACTGTTTAATAAACACACAAAACTATTGTCATTAACACAAGTTACAAAATACGGACACAAGGATTTGACTGAGACACATATAAACTGGCTTTGTTTTTTGTTTAGCTAAAGTGTTCCGATATGCTTAGTAGCCATCACAAATAACTAACGTGATGCAAGTGAGTGACGTGCTCTCCGTTTTTCATGTTCATTATAACTAATTACCTTGTTAGTCCAATACGATACATGAGAAACTTTATTCAGGTGTTGAGAAAGTTTGTTTGATTTTCAGTGAACTTGCAATTAAATATACATGCTTAAAATAACCCATAGTGTCATTGATTAGTACGTAACCTCATTTGTTATTTATCCTCGGATCCATTGTGGCGATGCAATTTTTTCTATCCTCATATAGACATACATTTCCCATATAACTATATATACGAATGTACAGCTTAAGTAAATGATTTCGTCGAAAAGAAAATTTTCTTCGCTGAATTCTCTTTTTCTTATTCAAATACACGTGCCTTATTAATAATACATCACCTGTTTCTTCGTTTGCAGATCTTTTCAAATAACAATGAATTGATAATTACAATGAAAATGCATGACAACTGTTGCTCAAGCTTCTGCTATATTGTTGTATAATAATACGCTTTTTCTTTTCAATAAATTTATTTAAACACATACCATTTTTCACGTGGATTGCAGTTTTAGTGTGGTGTGTTGTGGGAATAAAGGCGAACATAGGAGACCTTTGGAGTTATGCTAATGGTGTTTTAAAAGTTGGAGGAAAAGTAGACAATTTAGCGTGTATTTCGACGAAAAGTAGACAATTCAGCGACATTTGAGAGACAGAGCGGCAAAAAGGGGGAGATCCGCATTATTTCCCCCGAACAGGCTAAAAAGCAGACATATTGGCGCGTTTCCCCTTTGTTGGTTGATTGGGACAGAGAAAAAAGAGACTAGCAACTCTAAAAACAACGCTTATTGCTTTTCTGGAGCTACTGCCAGTCCCAAGAACGGGGAAGAGAGGAGGGTTGTGCATGGGGTCAGCAACCTCATCCCGTAGAAAACAAACTTGCCAAAAAACGCCAACCATATTAAACAATTTAAACTATTAAACCACTTAAATTCCGCCCTCCGAGTTCAAGGGTCATCATTCATAAAAATTGTGACGGCTCATGATGAAAGTTGAAATCCTTCTGAAGACACAGGGCTGGTGCTCCTTCTAACAACCATAGAAACAATTCTTATAAGTAAATGGAATGTCAGGATAATGTGGGACACCGTGAGGACCAGTCAAATAGTAACGAAAATGAGGAGATACAATTTTGACGATGCTCGGAATCAGCAAAAATATGTGGAATACCTAGCGGAAAAAGCTGTAAGTGAAGGAAATATGAGACAGCTATATGATACAATGAGGAAACTAGCAGGGAAATATAGTAAACCAGAGAGACCGGTCATGGACAATGAAAGTAAGCCAATCACTTAGATTCAGGGACAGAGGAACAGACAGGTGAAATATTTCGAGGAACCCTTGAATAGGCCAGTCTCATTGAACCCTCCGGACATCGAAGCACCACCTACAGACCGTCCTATAGCCGTCACTCCACCAACGACCGAATAAATCAGGATGGCCATAGGATAAATCAAGAGTGAGAAAGCAGTAAGACCAGACAATATACCAACCGAATCACTTAAGTCATACAGAAGTAACTGCAAAGAAGCTCCGCATTTTATTCAAGAAGATTTAGGAGGAAGAACAAGTGACGACGGACTGGAAAGAAGAATATCTCACCAAGATTCCTAAGAAAGATCTGGGCAAATGTGAAAAATATAGAGGCATCACACTACTATCTGCACCAGTAAAAGGTTTCAACAGTGTTGCTGAACCGGGTGAAAGATCCAGTAGACGCCCAACTTCGAGATCAACAGACTGGATTCTGTAAGGATCGGTTGTGCACAGACCAAATCGCGACACTATGGATCATCGTCGAACAACCATTTGAGTGGAACTCGTCACCATACATCAACTTCATTGACTATGAGAAGGCGTTTGACAGTGTAGATAGGAGGAAGTTATGGAAACTTCTTTGACACTACGGAGTTCCTGAGAGGATTGTCAACATCACACGGAATTCGTACGACGGACTACAGTGCAAAGTCGTGCATGGGGGACAGTTAACAGATGCATTCTAAGTAAGGACTGGAGTGAGACAAGGCTGTCTACTCTACCCCTTCCTCTTTCTTCTGGTGGTTGACTGGATTATGAAGACCTCGACATCTAAGGAATAGCACGGAATACAATCGACAGCTCAGAACCAATTAGACAATTTGGACTTTGCATATGACCTAGGATTCCTATCTCGTACATACGAACAAATGCAGATAAAGAAAACTAGTGTAGCAACAGCCTCTGGATCAGTAGGCCTCAACATGCACAAAGCAAAGAGCAAGATCCTCAAATGTAACACAGAGAACACCAATCCAACCACACTTGATGGAAAAACTGTGCAAGAGGTGTGAAATTTCACGTGACTGACTGGTCAGCATCATCGATGAACAAGGAAGATCGGATGCAGAAGTAAAGGCAAGGATTGGCAAAGTAAGAACAACATTCCTACGTTTGAAAAACATATGGAGCTACGAAACAACTGTATGGAAGCCAATATCAAAGTCAGAATCTTCATTAGGAGCTTCAAGACAGTTCTACTTTACGGAGCTAAAACTTGGAGAACTACCACAGCCATCATCAAGAAGGTGCAAGTATTTATAAATAGTTTTCTACTCAAGATACTCAACATCCGTTGGCCGGATACCATCAGCAACAGTCTACTGTGAGAGAGAACAAACCAGCTTCCAGCTGAAGAGGAAATTGGGAAAAGACGATGGAAATGGATAGGACATACATTACGGAAATCACAAAACAGCATCGCGAGGCAAGTCCTAAATCGGAATCCTGAAGAGAAGCGGAAAAGAGGAAGGCAGAAGGACACACTATACCGGGAATTGGAAGCAGATATGAAAAGGATTAATATCAACTGGAAATGGTTGCTCAGGACGGGGTTGGATGGAGAGTGCTGGTGGGCGGTTTTCGCACATACATTCACTACTACACTGATGTACCAGATAGCATTCCGGCTAGCATACTAAAACGTGAACGTGGAGTTATGTGTATTCTAATTCTCAAACTATTCGTGATATCACTCTCTACAGCTTGTTACCCTACAGCCCGTAAAACTTCACATATCATTCTTAAAATAAAGACGGCGCATGAAACTAATGTCGAAAATTACCGGCGCATTAACATAACCTCAGTGGTATCTAGAATGGTGAAAAATGTAGTTTAGTCGGCGGTAGTTCAGCACCT